GTCTAAAAAGCAAGAGAAATTTTTGCTGTGTTGTCTAAAAAGCAAGAAAAATTTTGGTTAAAAAAATGTATAAACAGGTACGGGCCTTATCTAGTTCCCAGTGTATGTTTTCAAGGTCAAACTTAAAGCAGCCCCCTAAATATCTCCTAATTCACCCACTTGTCTCTTCTGCAGATGCCAACTGTTCAGACCATGAGAAGCTCTTGCCTGTGTTCTACCACAGCTACCTCTCCAGTAGACCTGGTTTCCTTCCTGTCAGTTCCTCAGCTCAAAAGCACCCAAAGAGCCTCCCAGTCAGGATAAAACACACACACACACACACACACACACACACACACACACACACACACACACCCTTGGAACTGTCTATGGGTACTCTTAGGTGGGTTTCACCTCCTGTCCTCATGTGTGACCTATGTCCCATACCAGCTCTCTTTGATTACTATGTTCCTGTCATACCTTGCGTCTGTGACTCAGACATTCCAGACGTCCCCTGCCTTCCAGTTGATCCCCACGCTGTTCCTCTGGTTGGTAACATTCTTCCACAGCCTTTACAGAAGCCAATCATTTTCTTTCTTGCTGCTCAGCTCAGACATCACCTTCTAGAACATGTTCCCTGCCTGCTCACTCTCAAGTAGCCACCACCAGGTGCTTCCTACCTCAGTATTCTCGTGCTCATTCTTGGTACCGACCACTCTGGGAAATTTCTCTTTTTCCCACCAGTGTATTGGAGGCCTCCCAAATGCAACTAAAGCATGAGTGTCCAGAGAATGAATATCACACTTCTCACCCAATCCCCTGAGCCCGTGTTTGGCATGTACCAGCCTATTCATTCCTTACCCTTGCCCGGTGAGAAACCAGAATACATCAGTGAGCCAGTGTCCCCGCCGTATCCAACAGACTCACCAAACTTTGGGGAAACTCATCTTTCTTTTTATTTATTTTTCCTTCGCCTTGTTCTGTTTTTTCTGTGTACATAAAAAAAGGATCCCTATATAAATCATGAAGGGAAAAAGACAAGATACGTCCACCCTTTAGTGAAGAGAAATGGGAAGGCAATAGGGTGAGCCTCATACGGAGGAGTAGGGCATGCCATTTAAAGCTTAAGTATTCTCTGGAAAAGCAAAAGCGAAAACAAAAAAACTGAAGGCATCTCCACAGCCTCAGAGGAAGGCAGAGGTGGCCTTTTCAGTAAATTTTCTCCACTCAAGTATCCAGAAGCAGGGAGAGGCAGCCGCTCTTTTTCTCACTCCGGGTCATCTTCTTCCTTGTGTGGACGCGTGCTGCAGGGCTCGGAAGGCAGAGATTCGCTTGTGGGTTAAAAGTCAGCATCTTCTGCAGTTGCACTTTGAATTCCTCCATCTTAGGCCCTCTGAGGGAAGAGACTTTACCTCTGGAGGCCAGTCATCTTCTGGAGGCAATCCAATGAGAGCAAAGATTTTGCCCAACTGGCCAGCTTCAGAGTTTCCACAGAAGGGAGGTTTTCGACAAAACGCGTCTGCAAAGACACAACTGCAGGACAAGGTCAGCCAGCTGGACTGCCCCGTTACTTATCACCAGAACGTTCTCTGGTGTCTGGTCCCAGTGAACAATGCAATATGCATGAAGAAAATATGGGCTATTTAGAAACCGATCCATCAGATCCCTGATGGTCTCAACCGGCAAGCCTGGTGTGGGTGCTTGTCACGGTATGTCTTTAGGTCCTGGTCAATATGCTCAAACAGTAGGGTGACCTTGATGTCTGGATTAGCTCAGCATGTAGCTGCAACAACATTACAATGCTCGAAGGCCTCCAGCCTCCTCAGTAAGGTCACCTCATGAGCTGTGCTAATGGGAAAGCTCCTTCCAGTTCATTCTCCGTTAGGAACTCTCGCATTCCCGGGCATCACAAAGTGGCCCCTGAGGAGATCTCAGGCCTTGTACATCATCCCATAGACACCAACATCAATTTCAGCCTCTGGCTCATATCAAAAGGTAGCCATTCTCAGAGCAGGTGATCACCTTATGCCCAACCAAGAGCTGTGGAGGTGCCCCTTTATCAGGAGGGTGTCACACTGGGGATCCGTCCCGGACTGCTGAACACTATGGGCCAAACTATAGACACTCTTTATTTAAAATAATAATAATAATAATAATAATAATAAGGTCTCTTGATGTTCAGTTGCCCTTAAAGTAGCTGAATTTCTCCTCTGACTGATCAGCACGTACACTGGAAAACTGAATCTTCAGCACTAGTGTTGACATCTTTTCTGTGTATTCTAGAATCTGACAGCCTGTCTTCAAAGGGTAAAGGGAAAATTTCGCATTTTATGCAGAGCTAACCCAAAAGGAGTGAGCTCAAGTTACTACTGCTGTTAATACTATGGGATTTTTCTCTGTTCTTTCTTTGTGCATGTGTGTTTGTGCACGTAGGTGTGTGTATGTGGTATATGTGTATGTGTGTATAGGGTGTATGTGTGTGTGTATGGGAGGTGTGTGTATATATGGGGCATGAATGGGTATGTATATGCATGGGGTATATGTTTGTGTGTGCACATAAGGTATGGGGTATGTAAGGTAAATGTGTGTGTCCATCTATAGACATGGTGTGTGTATCTGTATGTGTGTGTATGTGTGCGTATGGTGCATGCATGTGAATATGCATATTTGGAGTGTTCATAGGCAGGAATTCAAGTGTCTCACTTTTCAATGCACTTCCTTAAGATAGGATCTTTTACCAAATCTGGATCTCCTTCTTATGGCTAGACTGGAACCTGGATCCTGGGAGGCTCCAAGATCCACCTGCTTCTGCTGCCCCTCCCAGCACTGGGATTATAAATTCATGCTGCCACACCCAGCTTTTACATGAGTCTTGAGAATCCAAATCCAGCCTCTCATGCTTCTGTGGCAAGCACGTTACCCACTGGACACCTCCCCAGCCCATACTGTTGTTTTTGACATTGAATGCCTTGGGACTGCTACAGAGTACTGCATCCCCACTGGCAATCAAAGCTCTGCTCCTCCACATCCCGCTAGTTCATTGCTGCTGTTTATTTAAAGGAGCTGCTTATTCATCTCAGCTGCCCAGAACTGAAATAATCACACAGAAACCGTATTAATTAAACCACTGCTTGGCCCATTAGTTCTAGCTTCTTATTGGCTAGCTCTTACATGTTAATTTAACCCATCTCCATTAATCTGTGCATCACCACGAGGTTGTGGTTTACCAGCAAAGTTTCAGTGTGTCTGTCTCCGAGAGCAGCTCCATGGCTTCTCTCTGACTCTGACTCCTTTCTCCCAGCATTCAGTTTAGTTTTCCCCGCCTATCTAAGTTCTGCTCTGCTATAGATCCAAAGTAGTCCTTTATTAACCAATGGTATTCACAGCATACAGAGGGGAATCCTACATTACCTCTCCTTTTCTGTTTAAATTAAAAGGAAGGTTTTAACTTTAACATAGTAAAATTACATATAACAAAACAGGTATCAAGCAAGAATTATAGTTACAATATTTATATCTACTTTATGTTTTATTATAACTAAGGAAAACTATAACTATAAATTCTTCAACTCCATCAGAGACTCCAGGGGGATATAATATTACCTAAGTAAACAGGAAGTACATTGTAAGCAGCTTCAAAAACTCTAGAAATGACAGAGACATCTCACTGCCTGGACAGTCACCCAAAGTTCTTCTGTACCATTGGGGCATCCATCTTCAGCCTACAGGCCAATAGTATCCGGCAGACTTTTTGAGGAAGCAGGAAATTTCAAAGACGATTCCACCTACATTGGCAGTTTGTCAGTCACTTTCTTCTGTGTCCTGTAAAATGTCTAGCAGACTCTTTCATGAAGTAGGAACCCCAAAGGACCATCTCATCTTCAGGCAAGTTCATCAGTCATTTCTCTGCAGGTGCTTCAAGTCCAGTTCATCAAGCAGTCCAGGCAAGAGCAGTTTCTTGTCCAAATGGCTAACCAACTCCATAAGGAGCCTCTTCGATTCCCATCTTCCTCTTGAAGTAGATTGGAGCTGCCTATCTAAATTCTGCCCTGCTATAGGTTCAAAGCAGTCCTTTATCAACCAATGGTATTCACATCATACAGAGGGGAATCCCACATCAGCTATTTTCGGCCCAGAGCATCCACATGTAAGGTAGGATGGCTTAGGATGCTGTCAGGTGAGATGGAGAAATATCTATTTCTCCAGTCTGATGTTTAGACCCAATGAAAACAACGTTTTACATTTGTCTGTGCAAAAAGCCACTGTGATACTTAATCTTGATTGGTTTGAGAAGCACCTAGGAGATTTGTAAAGCATACCTCCCAGTTTGTTCATGACGGAGCTTCCACAGATTAAATTGTGAGGGTTATTATCTAATTAGTAGGTCAATCCAGTGACAGACTCAACATTTGTATAGAGTGAGTAGAAGTTGGAGGGAGTGGAGCACAGGGGTGGTGGAGGTGCCCTTGAAGGGTCTGCCTTGGCCCTGGCTCTGTCCTATGGCTCCTTTGCTTTTGTAACGGCCAAGAAGTGAGCATCTCTGCTTTGCCACACACTCTCCAGCATGATGATCTGCCTAGCCACAGCCCTGGAAGTAATGGAGCCAGCTGACCATGGGCTGAAGCCACCCCAACCATGAGCCAAAATAAACCCCTCCTCCTCTAAGTGGTTTCTCTCAGTATTTGTCATAGCCTCAGTGACAAAACCTGACTTACACAAACAGATACTTCAGAGTCCTTAAGGTTATTTTTATTATTTTTAATCATGTGTAGGGGAGTCTCAATATCACAGTAGAGAATGATGAGGTACTTCAGTGTTTCTCTGTGAAACACTGTTTCTCTGACTCATTTAAATTATAACAATGTCCTCCAGACCCATTACATCTTATCAGTTTGTAAATGAAGGATTTCGTGATTCTCTTAATGACTGAATAGCTTTCCATTGTGTGTGTATCCATATATATGTGTGTGTGTATGTATATTATACACACACACCTACATGCATATTCTCTCTTTCTCTCTCTCCCTCTCTCTCTCTCTCTCTCTCTCTCATTTTTATTGTCTATGACTCCAGCCATGGGATGGTGTAGCTAAGAGTTAAGATGGGTCTTCCCACCTCAGTGAACCCAATCTACAAACTCTCTCTCAGGCATGCCCAGAGGCTTATATCCTAGTTGACTTTAGATCTTGTCAAACTGGCAATATTAACTGTCACATGGACTGAATCATCTCCCCAGCCCAGATTCTGATCTTTTCTCCTATAACCAGAGGCTGTGTTCTCAGTACACTGTACTCAGTGTACATCTTGTATCTTGGGGATATAAGAAGGACTATAAGTGTGTTTGTTCTTCAGGATTTTAACATCTGACTTGACTCAAATAGTGCTAATTATCTATTGCCACAGAACATAATATCCCCAAACTCACAGCTGAAAACAACAATGTTTGCCTTCTCACCACACTCAGTCTCTCACGAAGCTGAAGTCAATTTGTTACCAGTCTCTCAAGACTCCAATAATGCTGAAGCAACCATGTCAAAGACTGTAAGTCCCAGTACAACGAAACACCTACACATAAAAAAAATTTTAAAGATTAATTTAAATCAATTTTATAACTGTTACCAGAGGCCTAACTCTGGGGATCTGAACAGACCAGGTTCTGCCAGATGTGTCTTCCAGGGTCCATACATCAGGGAGAGATGAGCAGCGGTGAAACAGAAAGACAATTTCTCTGTGCCCAGCTTAGAGACTACTTTCCAGGTATTAACAATAGCTTCAGATTATAAACAGAAAGGAGACAAAAACAAACATACAAAGGGTGGTATGCCTTGAGATCTCACTCAGGTTGATCCTGATCTCAGAGTTATTTCTGTGAGTCCTGCTAGCATCAGAGAACCATAGAAACTGTGACTGGTTGACTAGTTCCCAGCAGTTGATTGGTTGCAGGGTTCACCGTTCCTGGAATTCAAAGTAAGTTGGTATGGTGGTTAGAATGAGAGGGGCCCCCATAGGTTCATAGATTTGAATGCTTGGTCACCAGGGAATGGCACTATTTGAAAGCCTTGTTGGAAAAAAAAAAGTGTGTCACCAGGGCTTTGAGGTTTCAAAAGCCCATTCCAAAACCAGAGTCTCCCTCTTCCTGCTGCCTGCAGATCTGAATGTAGAACTCTCAGCTACTTCTCCAACACCATGTCTGCCTGTGTGCAGCCATGCTTCCTGCCATGATGACAATAGACTAACCCTCTGAAACTGTAAGTGAGCCCCAATTAAACATTTTCCTTTATAAGAGTTATCATGGTCCCAAAGAAGAAAAAAACACACAAATTGACATCACCAATGATGAAAAATAAATTAACAGGAGATAGCAATCACTGGTCATTAATATCCCTTAATATAAATGCATTCAACTCACCTATAAAAAGGCACAGGCTAACAGATTGGATACAAAAACAGAATCCATCCTTCTTCTGCATACAAAAAACACATCTCAACCTCAAAGACAGACATCATCTCAGAGTAAAGGGTTGGGGAAAAAATATACCAATCAAATGGACCAAAAAAACATGTGGGTGTAGCTATCCTAATTAATATCTAACAAAATAGACTTCAAGCTAAAATCAGTTGAAAGAGACAAAGAAGGTCATTTCATATTAGTCACAGGAAAAATCCATCAAGAGGAAATTTCAATACTGAACATCTATGCCCCAAATACAAGAGTACCCTCATATGTGAAAGAAACACTTCTAAAGCTTAAATCATACATTAAACCCCACACAGTAATAGTAGGAGACTTCAACACTCCCCACTCACCACTGAACAGGTCAATCAGACAAAAAATGAACAGAGAAATAAGAAAATTAACAGATGTTATGACTCAAATGTATTTAACAGACATCTACAGAACATTCCATCCAAACAGAAAAGAATATACGTTCTTCTCAGCACCTCATGGAACCTTCTCAAATATTGACCACATACTCGGTAACAAAATAAACCTTAACAAATACAAAAAAATGGAATAACCCTATGTACCTTATCAGATCACCATGGTACAAAACTAGAAGTCAACAGTCATACTAACTCAGAAAACCCACAAACACATGGAAATTAAACAATGCTCACCTGAATCATAAATGGGTAAAGAAAGAAAGGGGAAAATTAAAGACTTCCCAAAATTCAATGAAAATGACCACACAACATACCCAAATTTATGGGACACAATGAAAGCAGGGTTAAGAAGAAAGTTCATAGCAATAAATGCCTACATAAAGAAGCTGGAAAAATCCCACACTAGTGAATTAACAGAACATTGAAAACTTTAAAACAAAAAAAGCAAACTCATCCAAGAGAAGTAGATGACAGGAAATAAAGTGAGAGCTGAAATCAACAAAATAGAAACAAAGTAAACAATACAAACGATCAATGAGACAAAGAGCTGGTTCTTCGAGAAAATCAACAAAATAGATAAACTGTTATTCAAACTAACCGAAAGGCAGAGAGAGAATATCCAAATTAACAAAATCAGAAATGAAAAGGGGGACATAACAACAGACAAGGAGGAAATACAGCAAATCATCAGGTCATATTTCGAAAACCTGTACTCCACAAAATTGAAAAACTTAAAGGAAATGGACAATTTTCTGGATAAATATCACTTACCAAAATTAAATCAAGACAAGATAAGCAAATTAAACAGACCTATAACTGCTGAAGAAATAGAAGCAGTCATCAAAAGTCTCCCAATCAAAAAAAAAAAAAAAACCCGGACCAGATGGTTTCAGTTCAAAATTCTACAAGACGTTCAAAGAAGAACTAATACCAATACTCCTCGAATTATTTCACACAATAGAAGCAGAAAAAACATTGCCAAACTCTTTTTATCAGGCTACAATTACCCTGATACCCAAACCACAGAAAGACATTACTAAGGAAGAGAATTACAGACTAATTTTACTCATGAACATTGATGCAAAAATAATAAATAAAATACTGGCAAATCAACTCCAAGAACACATCAGAACCATCAAACACCATGACCAAGTCGGCTTCATACCACGATGCAGGAATGGTTCAACATACGAAAATCTGTCAACGTAATCCACCATATAAACAAGCTGAAAAATAAAAACCACATGTCATCTCATTAGACGCTGAAAAAGCTTTTGACAAAATACATCCCTTCATGATAAAGGCCTTGGAGAGAGCAGGGATACCAGGAACATACCTAAATATAATTAAGGCAATATACAGCAAGCCAACAGCCAACATCAAACTAAATAAAGAGAAACTCCCAGCAATTCCACTGAAATCAGGAACAAGACAAGGTTCTCCACTCCCTCCATATCTATTCAATATAGTTCTTACAGTCCTAGCTAGAGCAATAAGACATCAAAAGGAGATTAAGGGGATACAAATTGGAAAAGAAGTCAAACTCTCACTGTTTGCTGATGATATGATAGTTTACATAAGAGATCCCAAAAATTCTACCAAGGAACTTCTACAACTCATAAACACTTTCAGCAATGTAGTAGGACAAAAGACTAACTCAAAAAAATCAGTAGCCCTCCTGTACACAGATGATAAAAGGCTGGGGAAGAAATCAGAGAATCAACACCCTTCTCAACTTCACATGGAAAAGCAAAAAACCCAGGATAGCCAAAACAATCCTGTACAATGAAAGAACTTCTGGAGGCATCACAATCCCTGACTTCAAACTCTACTACAGAGCTACAGTACTGAAAACAGCCTGGTATTGGCATAAGAACAGACAGGAGGACCAATGAAACTAAATAAAAGACCCGGATATCAATCCACACATCTTCGAACACCTGATCCTTCACAAGGAAGCAAAAAATATCAAATGGAAAAAAAGAAAGCATATTTAACAAGTGATGCTGGAATAACTGGATATCAACCAGTAGAAGAATGAAAATAGATCCATATCTATCACCATGCACAAAACTCAAGTCCAAATGGATCAAAGACCTCAACATCAAGCCAGCCGCACTGAACCTTATAGAAGAGAAAGTGGGAAGTACACTTGAACACAGTGGTACAGGGAACCACTTCCTAAATATAACCCTAGCAGCACAGACACTGAGAGAAACAATTAATAAATGGGACCTCCTGAAACTGAAAAGCTTCTGTAAAGCAAAGGACATGCTCAAAAAGACAAAACAACAGCCTACAGAATGGGAAAAAAAATCTTCACTAACCCCACATAAGACAGAAGTCTGATCTCCAAAATATACAAAGAACTCAAGAAATGGACACCAAAAGAACACATAATCCAATACCAAAAAAAAGAAGTACAGTCCAAAACAGAGAACTCTTAACAGAGGAATCTAAAATTACTGAAAGACACGTAAGGAAATGTTCAACAACCTTAGTCATTAGAGAAATGCAAATCAAAACAACTTTGAGATTCCATCTTACACCTGTAAGAATGGCCAAGATCAAAAACACTGATGACAACTTATGCTGGAGAGGTTGTGGAGAAAAGGGAACACTTCTGCATTGCTGGTGGGAACACAAGCTGGTACAACCCCTTTGGATGTCAGTGTGGCGATTTCTCAGAAAATTAGGAAACAACCTTCCTCAAGACCCAGTAATACCACTTTTGTATATATACCCAAAGGATGCTCAATTGTGCCACAAGGACATGTGCTCAACTATGTTCACAGCAGCTTTATTTGTCATAGCCAGAACCTGAAAACAACCTAAATGCCCTCGATCAAAGAATGAATAAGAAAAATGTGGTACATTTACACAATGGAGTACTACACAGCAGAAAAAATAATGACATCTTGAATTTTGCAGGAAAATGGATGGAACTAGGAAACATTATTTTGAGTGAGGTAACCAAGACCCAGAAAGACAATTATCACATCTACTCACTCATAGGTGGTTTTTAAACATAAAGCAAAGAAAGCCAACCTACAAACCACAATCCCAGAGAACTTAGACAACAATACGGACACTAAGAGAGACTTACATAGATCTAATGTACATGGGAAGTAGAAAGTAGAAAAAGACAAGATCTCCTGAGTAAATTGGGAGCATGGGGACCTTGGGGGAGGGTTGAAGTGGGAGGGGAGGCAGGGAGGGAAGTAGAGAAAAATAAAAAGAGCTAGAATGGTCATGGCATATCTTCACAGCAATAGAACACTGACTCAGACAGTTGGGAAGGAGAAATAACTGGGAAAGGGAGAGCAGGGTAGAGGGTCAAGATAGAATCCATTAAGACAAAGAGACCAAAGGACAGTTTCAAAGGAACCCCAGTCAGTTTCACCATTACTACCTTTTGCAGTTAGTTACAGACACCAACAGGATATAAGAGGGAAGACCTTTCTATAGGCTAGCAATACCAGGAAACCAGGACCATTGGCTGACATCTAGAAGGCCTGTTGTCATATCTATCCCTGTTTGAATCCATTTAAAATAAGCTTTTTGTATGTATTTATGTGTTTGCACATATATATGGATGTACTTGTGCACATATGCATGTATAGTTGCCAGAGATTGACACTGGTATCTTCATTAGTTACTTTACACCTGAAATTTAATTT